TATACAGTCTTTTTGATAAAATATTGAAGAGATTGAAAGCACGGCCTATTTTATCCAAAGTATTCCAGACTCCTCAATAAAATACTAAGGAGGCTGAAAACTTTAGAGGGGATATCTGTATGCATTAAAAATTTCCTATAGATCCTAAACATAGCTCAAGACAACGAGAAGATGAAGAACATCATCATCTAAGTCAGAGACGATCATCTGATGCTAAGAAGAAGTAAAGAAGTGTGCAAAACAACGAAACGACGGACTCGAGGTTGTCTCACAATTAGTGAGACAACATGAGTTGTCTTGAATTTCAAGACACATAATGGTGTCTCGAGTTCCGAGACAGGTCAAGGTGTCTTGCAAATTGTGAGACTTTGTGACACGTTTTTTTGACAGTTTCCTCAAGTTTCATGCGATCCACGTGGCTCCATAACTGCTTAGGAACATCCATAAACACGGAGAGACCATTACAAACTAAAAATCCACCAGGTTGGTTGTCGATTACGGTTTGTTTCGAATTCTTATCTTCAACAACGGTATGAAGGGTACTAACGGACGGACGAATCAGAGGCAAGACTAACGAGTTGAAGACAGGAGATCAGATCCAAGAGCAGAGAGATGGAGATTTTGGCGACCTTTTATCATAAAGAGAGAGTTCTTCATCATATTTGAAAGATCCCAAGGCTTTCAGTCTTTTCCTTGAGTTCAAACTTTAATTTGATTTTGAGAAGAGTACTTATCTTACCTGACTAAGATATCTACTTTTGTTCTTGTTTCTAAAATAAAATATCAACACAAAACCTTCTTCATAATCAACCCGGATAGTTGAATCGGTGGTCCACGGATTGAAGCATCCTTAACACAGGCAAAGATCTCACGCAAGTAGCGACTAATAAATAGTTTCTGCATGTGTTTCTAAGGAATATCCTTTTTTGTTTTCTTTGTAAAGAGAAGTTGTAAAGGCTCACTCTTTTGTTTCTAACAAATCAATTGTAAATGGAAGCTGCAATGAAAATCATACCCGACACAAACAGACACGTGCATGTTTTGTGTTTCAAATTAACTTGTACTGATTTTTGTGAGGATACCTCGAAGATTTCAGCTGTAGAATGTGATATTTTAAGAGTGCTTCCCTTCATGCAATTTTCTTGAAGAAATTTTTACGCTTCAGTACATAGATAGCTATTCTATTTTGTTGTCATCTCGCAGCAAGTATTCATCTTTTCCATAATTTGCACACGAATGTGATCCATTATATCACAAATAGGAAGTGTTATCACCACACGAATCCAATTGTTGAAAGATTCAGCAACATTAAAAGTGATATGACCATATCTGTGTATCAAATAAAAATTCACTATCATAAATTACAGCCATGTGTCACATATAAACAACAAACATCGTAAGCAACAACAAAATATCATAGCACATGGCTAAGAGTCACATATAATGGCATATTGCCACATGAGACAAGTAACAGACGAACGTCGTATATAAAAGCATAATGTGACATTTAATAACTCAAATTCTTAGAAGATGGCTGATATTTGATGTACCTTATATCAGAAAATACAGAATTCGCCCAATTATTTGGACCATAACTTAGAGCTACTTGGTAAGCTCTTTGATCCGTCATCCTAATCTCATATAAAACAACTTTAAATTCTCTTTTCGTGCACTTGTATGCAGCAAACTCCAATAATTTTGAAATACGCTGAGCAACACTTGAGGCAAAACCCATCTCTCTAAGTTTCAATTTATAATTCTAAATAAGATGAAGTACACATCTAGAGTGGTACGCATATGGAAATATATATTTTAAAGATTGTTTTATTCCTTTGTCACCATCTGACAAAATTACTAGAGGATGGGGTGGATTGTATGGTTTTGTTCGATTGTACAAAATATACCGCAATCCTTGAATAAACCAACTCCAATTCACTTCATTTTTTGGTCACAAACGCAAAATGTGAGTGGAAATATGCCTTGATTACCATCATAAGCAGTCGCACCTAATAAGATCCCTTTGTAGCGATCTTTCAAAAAAGTACCATCTAGAAAGAGCCCTTGAGAAACCCCTGTATGCATGCACCATAGGACACAAATAAATATTTGAATCTCCTTTCTTCTTGTTCAATGATGAAGACACTGATTGGGTTTGTTTCCATCACCTTCATTTCGTATCTTAAAATGATGGTTAAAAGGACAAATAACTTATTAAATGATGAACAAGATCTAACTATCACATGTAATACTCAAACATCACAAATCAGGTCTAAATATCACATATAAGGTCGAACTCTCACATGTTGGATTTAATTGTCAGGTATAACATTGAAATATCACATGAGACACGTATTTGTCACATAGCATTCTGACATGTCATATTTACGGTTAACTGTGATACATATACGTTCTAAAGGATACATCAACAAATTAATGGACTAACTAGGATAGTAAATCATATGAATGCCTTGAGCAACCAAATATTTGGTTTTTTGTTGTCTCCTTAGCATACCAAGCTTTAGAATAATTAACTTTTAAGCTATATTAAGAGTGCAATTCATTTCTAATGTCAGTTGGGGTAATATATAAAAGACTCTTCATAATTGATTGTAGCATACTCGAAATCCACCTTCTTGATACTCTAGAGTGACTAGCTGTGCTGTTATGTTGTCCACAAGTATGTTGAGGAACAAATTTTTTTATAGCAAAGATCGACACATGGCTCAATGGTGAAGCGAAAAGCAACCATGGGTATTTTGTTTCTTTTCTAAACATGCAACTAGCACGAATACGTTTTGGCTCATTGTTAACATATTTAAAAGCGAACTTCTTAGCTATAGAGTAGTATATAAGAGTCATTCTAACTTCTTTTACGCTTTCAAATTGCTGCCCTTTTTCAGTAATTATCTCATGCCACCATGCTAGGATCCGTGGTGAGTCACTTACTACGTCATTCATCATCCACACATGCTCTCCTTGAGGATTGTCGTTTGAGATCCTCTCTGATTCCTCGATTGGGAACCTCTCATAAGGTTCATCTATATGCTCCAATGGCTGTGAGCTTACATTAGGAACACTGCAAGTTGAATGTAACAAACATATAAGTCACGTGTGATAATCACCAGTAAAGTCACATATAATACGTAAATATCATAAATAAAGTCAATATGTCACAAATATAGTCATTATGTCACGTTGGATGTCTTCAAGTCACATATATAACGTAAATATCACAGTTCCCATTATAACGTGTATCCAGAACCAAAAAATATACTTTTGAATACTTACTCAAGCTCTGTTTCTGTCCCTATGGCATGCTTGGATCCTTCATCTCTTTAGTAATAGTCATGGTTATCGTATTTAACACCATTAAACGATGATAATCTATCATGTTGAGAATATCTTCATCTTTTGAAAGCTCAAACGAGACATTTGGAAACTTCTTGAGAGAGTAACTTATTAATAACCTTTCGTACGGTACTCTAAAATTCTCTGCAGCTTGCATTTTTAATTCAACTAAACTTGTTGCAGAATTGACTTTAATGAGGGTTGCATTAGTGTTAAATGAAATCACACACATTAAAGAATCTTCCATTTTAGTTGTTGAAGAAGTTAAGAGAAAAAGATTAAGAATATTTTGGTTATTGAAGGTTGTTGAAGGTCTTATGAGTAGATCTAAAGAGGGAAGAAGATATTACATTGAGATGATACATTATTTTGGAGGGAACTTAGTAGGTTTCCCTCCAATTTTCTATTTCCCTCCAAAAACCCTCTCCAGCCATAAACCCAATCGAAAGTGTCTTCCGACTTCATGATGGCATGATATGCTGACCAATAAGATAAAACACTTTACACCCTCCATAAATGAGTACAAAAGGGTATAATGAGCAATACTTAAAAATACAGTATAAAGTATATATACAATGTTGGGTTAGGGGTATTTTAGCATAAAAATTTGGGTCAAAGAGCTTACAAGGGGTTAACTCTAGTTGGAAGAGGATGATGCATAGCCCAAGTTTTTTTAATCGGTTTTTCTATAGAGTGCCCATGGACACTCTATAAGGGAGGAGAGAGATAGAGATAAATGAATAGCTCATGGGTCCCCCTGATTTGCATTAATTTCTGTGCATAATTTATTTCTCTCTATCTCTCTCCTCTTTTATGGAGTGCCCATGGACACTCTATAGAAAAACCATCTTTTAATTCCTCCAAACAATTTTTCTAAAAAATAATTATGACTAATGGATAACTCTTCTGGACTTTTCAGAAAATAAATAGAAAACTTAGAGAGAGAGAGACAGAATAAATGAAAGTCTTTCCTATTTTAGCTACAACGTTGGAAGATATTCTAAAGTTCGCCTCACTCGAACCCTCCAGCGTATGAACGCGGTACAACTTGGAATCCACCAATGGTCTTATCTTATTATCTCCACCCATCGCCATCTCTTGTGCCCAAATGACCCAATTATTCCCACCCTAATTAATTTAATAGCAACCCCTCCAATGCCTCATATTTATACCTGCCCCCTCTCGACTGAGTTCATCCTTATCCTCCTCAATTAATAATTAATCCCCCCTCCCAAGACTTAATACTACCTACGTGTCGAACTTTTAATGGCCCACCGTCGTCCTTTGCCGGCCCCACATTCTTCGTAAGCGCCGCTCTAGATGACGCCTTCTCAAACCCTTGGGTCCCGCGTCGCCTGTCACGCGGAGTGCCACAACAAACAGAGGGGAAGAGGG